TTGATGTTAAAAGAGTGGTGTTATGTCATGGAAACAGTCATGGTTGCGGGCATTTGTATTTGTAAACACACCTGACTTGTTTTAGATGAGTTAATCCAAAGAATAAGACTGCTTGAGCTTTTTTGACTGTCAAAGTCATTTTGCAACTGACTGTCAATTTCAAATTAATTTTTGGATGGAACTTGTAAAAAAATTGTGGTTTTCCTAACCAGTTATTTAAGCGATTCTTATCCTCTTAAGTGTATGAACACTAATTGATATTCCTTTTCGGCTAATTTGTTGAAAAGTGCACTTCTTTACCCTAACCCCCCTGAATTCTCCAAAATCCTTTTTGCAAATTGGAGGAATTTGCAGGATTGAGGTTACATGGCAAAGTGCGTTGCTGATTTTCGAAAGATGCACCGTGTCAAGGTCCTGGGCCAGACCTTGTGTTGTTTATGCTCAGCCGTGCGTAAATTTAGTCCTTGATTATACTTGACAACCTCCGTACTGCTCCAGGATGTCACTGCCTCTGCCTCAGCCTATTGACAGTCATAGCCGGAGGATTTTGCAGGATTCAGGCAGTGGTCATACCTCCATGGACCATATTCAAGAAATAACGGAGGAATTTGCAGGATTGAGGCTATATGCTATTTTTCCATGGGGCCAATTGGAGGACTTTGCAGGATTGAGGCTACATCCTAGCAAAAAGGCCTAGGGAGTTAGGGTTAAACATTTAAAAATTTGCCATGCTTTTCCGGATAAGGGAGGGTGCTGTTGGGTACTTGGGACTGGATGACTTGTGGTTGGACTTGTAATCTACTTGTGATTGGCTTGTGATTGACATGTGATTGACTTGACTGACATGTGATCAACTTTTGCTAATGTACGGCAGGTTTTGTACAAAAACACAAGTAGTACTATGTCAAATACGCACATGGCGAAAAATAACCTCAAAAGAAATAACCTCAAAAGAAATAACCTCAAAAGAAAACTCACCTGTCACAAAAACCTCCCAATGCATTTCATTCACTATGTGAAAAATGGCTGCAAGAGGTCCTTGACTCTTAATTCATGAGGGAACCACAACTTACAAAAATGATTCTCATGTAGAAAATTGTAGAAACCTAAGTTCACTGGTGCTATGTGTAACTAAGTACCTTACATGCCCACTAACTAAATGGCCACTGTGAAAATATGTGTGCTAAGCATGAATGAAATTGTGATCTTTAAAACAAACTATATTTGATTTACTTAATACAATTTAAACAATCAAAGTTGCTTTTCTAGTTCCTCCAAGTACCACAGAGAGGACAACTACTCGTGTGACAACTACAGAGGCCCCTTCAACAACTGCCCCACCTTCAACAACTGCCCCACCTTCAACGACTGCCCCACCCTCAACAACCAAGGAGGTAACAACAGTTGTGACCACTACCCCTGAATCTACCACAAAGGAAGTCACCACAATGCAGTCTACAACAGGTTAGATATGACATCATGTGGCATTTGGGTCTGATGTTGAAATGGTTGGACAGACTGTTTTTTTCTTTCCGTGTTTTCTGGTTTGTGAGTTTGAATTCCGCTTGAGTCTTGGAGCCTGACATGCCCTCTTTGGCAAGCAGCTGACAATCTAGGTTCCTCCACCTATTGAGCATGTCAACACATAGCTGTTTGGCTGTGAGCATATCCGTACAAGTAGGGAATGGAACCCTTTACCACTTGTATGAAATTGTATTACATTGTGTTTACTCCATAAATCAATAAAACTATAGAGTGCTAGGGCTGTTTGGGGAAGTTTGAGGATTGAATGACTTGACATTTGTTGGCACTTTGAGGGCTACTTACCCTCAAAGGGCTACTTAGCCCTCAAGGTTGAATATACTTTCCCAGACATTTATTTTTACGGCACATTTATATACAGATGCTTAAATTATATTAATCCATTATAAGATAAAACATTCAATAAGGGTGCTGAAATGCCTAAAATATAACAAGAATTTGCTGGATTGATCTGTACCACAATTTTCATGAACAAAAAAACACTGAAAGGAGATGGTGAATATTAATAGCTTATTATATTTTATGTTTATTATACTTTTACTATATTATATTGCTTTTAAACTATACTATTAAAAGTGACAAACATTTTGTCAATTGTGCAATAACAGAAGCCTCCACGACAGAGGCTAGAACCACTGTTGTGAGTACTACCGTTACTTCTACTGTACCATCAACTACTGAGGCACCATCAACTACTGAGGAGGTGACAACCACTGTTGTGTACACAACTACTCCAGAGTCAACTACAGTTGAAGAGACAACTACAGTACTGAGCACCACTGAAGAAAGTACAACAGGTAATTGAAGAACAATAAGTCTCTTTTACCAAGTGCTTCCATGAATTTGAAGGTTCAAGATTTGTTTATATTATGATCTTGATAAGGATACATTGTGACATGTTGTTTTTTTCTTTTAGACCTGGATAGTGGAATAGAATATAAGTTACTCATTGAAATAAAGATCAGCAAAGAGCAAAAGATTATTTTGTTTTCACCTAACTCAAATTGAAACTTTGTGGACTGTATCTTATAGGTCCTCCAAGTACAACGGAGAAGTCAACTACTCGTGTGACAACTACTGAGGCTCCCTCAACAACTGCCCCACCTTCAACAACTGCCCCACCTTCAACAACTGCCCCACCTTCAACAACTGCCCCACCTTCAACGACTGCCCCACCTTCAACGACCAAGGAGGTAACAACAGTTGTGACCACTACCCCTGAATCTACCACAAAGGAAGTCACCACAGTGGAGTCTACAACAGGTTAGAGTTTTTATACTTTTGCATTGGCAGCCTAAGGGTCAACTGGTTACAGAGACTGTTTCAGATTCTCTCTGTGTCATTGTTATAATGTGAATCCTGCACCCCCTACTTCCCATTCGTCTCGCTTTAGCAAGCACCTACAAAACAGGATTTTTAGTGTTGTATCCTGGCAAACCTGACTTTCCTAATTGTTGATAATTAAAAATACGCTACTTGAAAAAGTATAAATTCACAACTATGAATAGGGAATTCAGGGGTTATATATCCAGTCGGGATTTAATACACATGTACTTGTAAACAAACAATATCAAATTGCCAAAATGGTGTTTATAAAAGTTGACAAAGGGCAGAAAATGTTCATATGTCACATGAAATAATTAGCCTCACACTTTCTGAGAGTGAATTGATCTGTTTATTGACCACAAAGCAAGGATAAAAGTCCTCTAGTAATTGCAAGCATTCCATATGTTTTCTCCAAATTACTGATGACATTCAAGTTTAATTCATGTTCAATCTACATATGCTTTAAAGCTATAGTCCATCATTTTCAGCCATCCGAAAAGGTAACTGGCGTATTATTGTTGAGAAACATACTTGTTTGAAAGATAGTAAGTGGACTAAACTCCCTGTGAAATTAATCTTTCTGGCAAGCTATCATTTTGAAGTAATCAACGAAAGAAGGCCTTTCCAACGGTGCGTCTTAAGACGCACCGTAGGAAAATTTAAATTAGTAGTTCGTTTTGTTATTCGTGCAGCGCGCGCAAGCATTGGCACGACACACAGGCGCGCGCGGTTGCTATAATTCGTCAAATCAGTGCGCGACATCGCGTATAGCTGCAATTCAAAACAATTCAAAACATGATTCAGCAACTTTTGATTTGAAATTGAGATCGTAGAATGCTGTTTTTCTCGGAATATACAGCTGAAGCTGAGCTGAAACTTCATCAGGTTAGTTGTTCAGTATCCTTCATTAGATTTTGAGCACTTTTGTTGCTTCAAACGAACAAAATGCACAAATTACAAATGATGGACTATATCTTTAATATACATATAGACATATACATATCAACATGCATGGCCATGTACATGAATACAGTATATCCCTGCACAGGGTAGGCCTACAGTTTACATGCAAGGTGAAATGGTTGATTGTTCTCAAGTTGATACAGCCTGTTCTAAATGAATCAGCATTGAAATAGTATAACTTGACCATAAACAGAAGCCTCAACAACAGAAGCTAGAACCACTGTTGTGAGTACTACCGTTACTTCAACTGTACCATCAACTACTGAGGCACCATCAACTACTGAGGAGGTGACAACCACTGTTGTTTACACAACTACTCCAGAGTCAACTACAGTTGAAGAGACAACTACAGTACTGAGCACCACTGAAGAAAGTACAACAGGTAGAGACAGACTGTGTAGTGTGGAATTTTATTAAGGCTGAACTGAAAGAATCAATCAAAATCTTCAGAGAATTATTTTGAAGGTGCTTGGCTATTTGACATGAATTGAAAACATTTTGAATTTTAGTCTTCTACAAAGCAAACAAAAAAGAAAGAAAATTTGCTAATTTATATAAAAATTAGTGAGAAGATGGAAAAATTAGAAATGTTTTCTGTCCGTAATGCATATTTAAGCTCATGTCTTGCCTCATCATGACGTCACTTGTTGATGCACTCTTGTACTAGGTTGTCTTTGTCTCTAGATACCAAGTTCAAAGTCCATCCAATTACAGACAGTGTCAATTTTGTATAGAAATTAAAAAGAAAATTCACAAAAACAATCAGTCATCAAATCATCTTGATATCGCTTTGTGTTTTGCATACTAATAACATTAATTACAAACTAAGTTTCATAGCGATCTCACCTTCCCTTATATGATTTTGGTGAAATTATATTAACATCACGTATTTCTCGCAATTTTGTGCATATCTATGACCTACCGAACCTTCTACAAAAGAAGAATTTTTGATTGAAAGAATTGACATGCTCGAGATATACTAATAAGATGGGGGGGGGGGAATCAAAATTATATAGACAATAACAAGCTATTGTCATCATGACATGACCTTAGTTTTCACATGAAGTCCCTGTCTATGTGCTACAAAGTTTTAACCTAGCCAGACTTGTAATTCTGTAAATATAAGACTTTGAAAAGTACATTTTTAAGGTCATCATGTCATAAACCGGTTTCAACCAAAGAGATATCTTAATTTCCCATCACCAGCCAAAAAAGGGTATGTCTTCAGAAACAGATTTTGATATTTATATCAGCCGTGCGAAGCACGCTGATATAATGTGATCATCGCGTTTCTTTCTTTCTTTCTTCGGGCAAACGGTCGCTTGACCAAAAATAAAGTGCTACATCTGCCAAATTCCTTGGCAGATTTCAGCCATATTTGGACATGATCTTCCTTGAACCGAGTTCTATCTTAAGTGACCAGCATGTGAGGTTAATGGTCACCTAGTGGTCACTTTCTTCAAACATATAAAATGCTTCTTCTCCTACAGTCTTGACCCAATTAGTGTCAAACTTGGTCAGTTGCCTCTGTGGACCAAGCCTCATATGGGTTGTTCACAGAATTTGGCCAATGGTCACCTATTGGTCAAGAGGGGTCATTTCGTCAGCCGATTGTCAAACACTATGTGCAACGAGGAAACACAGTTTTGTTATCGGCTTGGTACGATGCCAGTTCGCATGCATTATGTGTATTCGAGGAAATGGAGTTATGGCAAGTTTTGTTTGATAAACTTGGTTAGCATACACTACGTGCAATGTGATACACAGATATGGTAGGATTTGTTATCGGCATGATTTGCTTGGAATACGTGCAATGTCAGAAAAGGAGATAAGGCAAGTTTTGTTATCAGCATGATTCGTTTGCAATATGTGAAATGTCAGAAACGTAGATATTATAAGTTATCCCACGAGCGCGAGTGGAACACGGAATAATGTAGTGCGTCTGTGTCCCACATACCACGAGGCCAAAGGCCGAGTGGTATGTGGGACACAGACGCACTACATTTTCCGTGTTCCACGAGCGCAAGCATGATAACGAATTTATCTTCAAGTGAACTTGACGCTCAGTACAGTTGGAACGAGCACGCTTTACACGGACATTCAGCAGTTTAGCATATGCAGCTGGAATGTCGCTCGCATCTTGGAACAGCGCAATATGCGGAGTGCGGTATGGACCGAGGCCGTGCTACATGGTTATATGTAGCACGGCTTGTTGCCATGGATCGACCAATCAGGATGGAGGATTCAAGTTTACTTGAAGATAAGACAGGTTTTGTTATTTGCTTGGCTAGCATACACTATGTGTAATGTGGGAAACACAGATATGGCAAGTTTTGTTACATCTGTGGTCATTTTGCTAAAATCTGCCGAATTTGGTGGCCAATTTCAGCCAAATTTGGACAGGATCTTCCTTGACTGCGTAAAGGTTGTCATGTATTCGGCCAGATATTCCGCCGCGTATTAAAAAAATACGGAGGCCAATAAACAACACTATTGCTGTGCTTAATTTTTAATGTTTAATGCAGATTCATCTACAGGCATTAACTACTGTTTCATGTATTGTCTCAGCGGCTATTTTATGTAATGTTTCGGCGGACTGAATGTCAAATGTTGTTGGTTACTTCCAAGCATTTTTGACAGTACGTGCGAGTCACTCCAGACCATAGAGTAAGGGACAGAAGAATACAGCGGTTTTGGCCGTTCCCTGTTCTCCGTTCGTTTCCCTAAGCTCGCGGTGAGCTAGGGCCTAGCGAGACGAGTACAGTGGGGGTATATCGACAGAGGTCGTTCCCTTCCCCCCCCCCCCCCCTGACCGTTTCAGCTAGCTCGGGGAGCTAGAAGAGGACGTTTTGTTTGGTATATCGACAGAGGTCGTTCCCTGCCCCTCGGCCGTCCTAAGCTATCTCGGTAGTGCGGCGACAAATGAGATAGCGGCGAGATATTCGTGGGCATATCGGCCGCTGGCCGTTCCCTTCCCTCGGCCACCTCGCCTGGCGTGTAAAGAGAAATTCCGTGGGGTACAGCGACCAGCAGTCGTTCCCTTCTCCTTGGCCGTTCTCAACTGCATTTATCTCAGTAGTACAATAGTACGAAAAGACAAGATAGCAGTGAGTCTCCCACGCAGGGACATCGCCATAGTTGGTTACGGTCATCCCGTGTTACGCGTTTTGACTGGCATCAAACATACATCCTACGGTATGGAACACTGTGAGGATACCGGTGATAAAACCCCCCGTGTAACCACGGCCCCCCAGGCGACCAGCCGTAAGGGTCCCGCGGTTAAAAAGGCCGCATCAAAGGCCACCAGCGTTCCCTAGGGTAAGACCCAAAAAGGGACCACTAGTCGCTCGATCACGCCACCGATCTCTGGACCATCGGCGTCACCTGGCGTCGATTTCCCGTAGTTTCACAGGAATTTCTTCGCCTCGTCCCCCCGGTCTGCTGGCTCCAGCAACCCTCGGGGACGACCAGTCACGGAGTGGTAAAAGGATTGAATCCTCACCGGCCCCGTCTGCGCGTTCATTGCGCTCCGAGCTCCCTGCTTCCACCCGTGCGGAATGGGCAGGACTCGTGGTGACCGACTTGCCTCCTCCCCCAATTAGGCACTTTACATACCGCACGAAGGCACTAAGAAGAAGTTAGAAGACCTTCCTCTTATGGGCAAAGACCTTTTCGGAGGCAAATTCCAGGAGATTCTGGAAGTTGAAGCCAAATGAATCAAAACAGCGGACAAACTGAGCTTGAAGAAGCCTTCAGCTACTAACAAGCCCAAGTTATCTGGCAAGAAGGCAACGAGAGGTGCTCCCCTCGTTTCGCCCTTCCCCTAAGAAACCATTCAAGCTCTTTCGCCAACAGACGGCCAAGGCATCAGCTGGTGCAATGGTTTCAGCTCCATGCCCTACTCTGCCCCTGCGCACCAGTATGTACAAACTAGCGGCCGGGGACATGGCGATGGGCCATTGGCCCCCCGCCTCGGTTGGCGGCGGTGACTCCCCCACGGAGCCGACCCCCACACTCAGGCTCGTTGGGGGTCGTCTCAGAAATTCTGGAGAGAGATCACCTGCGACGCAAGGGTGCTTTCTATAGTCAGCCACGGCTATCAACTAGAATCTACAAGCACCCCTTGGTCGGAAATATGTGTTCGCGAAACACTGGTTCCGACAAACACAGACAAAGGATTAGCTCTCGAACAAGATATCATCCCTTATCGAGAAGAGAGCAGTCCGCTTGGTACCACCAATGGAACAATTCATAGGCTTCCTGTCCTTCTTTCTAACACCAAAGAAGGTGGCTGGCTTAAACTGCTCAATAGGTTTGTCAGACCCAAGCGTTTCCAAATGGAAACACTCCATGTAGTTCTAGAGTCATTGCCCACGCCAGCGTGGGGGACGTCTTTAGACCTGAAAGACGCATACCTACATGTCCCCATCTTCCAAGAGCACTCCTGATTCCTACGTTTCCGGTTTCAGGAGCGCACTTACGAATTCACTGCCCTTCCCTTCGGGTTATCAACCTCGTCAAGAGTGTTTACCAGGGTTGTGCGGGCAGTTGCATCATGTCTTCGTCGAGAAAACAATGATTTTTATGGATCTCGATGACTGACTGATAGTGGGAAAATCAAAAGACGAAACTGCTCAAAATTTGAGAGATACTTATACGTTGACAACGAGGCTAGGCTTCATCATCAAGAGAAGAAGTCCCAACTAATCCCGTCCCAGGAAATCGCTTTTCTGGGAACAGAGATCAATCTACGCAGGGGCATAGCCGTCCCCACAGGGGAACGCGTTACCAGCCTGCGGAAGTGCGTCAAACTTTTTCTATCTGTTCAAGTCGCCCCAGCGCAAGCTTGGCTGAAACTTCTAGGGATCATGGCCAGCTAAGTGGACCTGGTCCCCTGGTGCGGATTTAGGATGCGTCCTTTGCAAATGCATCTTCTGGCACATGACTGACCCGAGACAGATCCAATCTCTCTAGTAATCTCGATCGACGAAGTCATTTGGCCACACCTTCGGTGGTGGCCATTGGAACAGAACATTCGGTGCAGATGGAGTTTCCCCAGAGGGGATCCTCACGCCATAATCTCCACTGACGCTTCCAACGAGGGCTGGGGAGCCTCCCCTCCCCCCTACATATCAATGTTCTATAGCTTTAGGCGCAGTCAACGCCTTACACCACTTCCAAGCAGACGCAGTGGGCCGGTCTGTTTTAATCAAGACCGACTACACGACAGTGGTAGCATATATTAACAAATGGGGCGGTACAAGGTCACCCCAGCTGTGCTACCTGACTTGGGAAATGTGTTAGTGGCTAACCAGACACAAAGTAGATCTACGTGTCATTCACGTTCCTGGTGCGGAAAACGACATAGCGGACTCTCTCTCC